GCCTGCAGTTCTCTAGCATTTTATTGAAAAGTATTCTGAATCCTAGTTATCTAATGTGGTGGAACATTTCAGAAGATTTTTACCATTTAAAATGTTGGTATGAGGGTAGGCAAATTACAGGGAAAGAGTGTTAATGCGCAAAAAGATGTGAAAAGAATGTGAAAAAAACGGTGCTCTGAGTTATGCAATTAAACCTAGTGACAAGCTCTTAACTCACTAACTAAAAGAAGCAGTTGATAGCTTTCTAAGCTGTACAAGTATAAAGAGATAAAGATTTAAGTAAATTATCTAAAGAAAGCATTATTTGGTTTGGCTCTTATGGTAGTCGAGCATAATGAATAGTCACAACATAACCAGCACTCCAGCAAGGTGCACTTAGACCTTCTATGACTCTGTTGTGGCATCAGCCATCCTCCTCTGAGCTGTCTGTTGGAGCAGTGGCTCTTCCGTAGCTCAGAGAAAGCGGCTGGAGCTCTGTGATTGGATGCCCTCTGGACTCGGTGCAGGAGATGAGAAACAAAAGGATGCTAAATAAATTAATGGTTCTGTTGGATAATGTCTCCCACCCCATGCATGAAGCTGCTGCAGAACTGGAGAGCTCCTTTTGTGATAGACTGCTGCAACCAAAATGTACCATGGTGGGTTATCACAGATCCTTCCTCCCAGCAGCTGTAAGACTTTGTAAACATCACTGTTCTCAACAACCTCAATAAGTTGTTTTAATTTATGCTGAATTTTGCAGTTTCTGTCTTAGTCAGTTAAATAACATGCTGCTGTCATTTTTTGCACATCTCTGGTGTTTATGCTATTTTTCACATATCCATTACTGTAAGAATTTCCACAGCTGTTATTGATTTTTTTATTCTCCAGATACAGAGTATTATATTGTAAAACCACTGTACAGTACAATACTCTATTTGTTTGATTTTCCTATCTGTTATTTTTATACACTTTTTATACACTTTTCCAGGGTGCATATTGTGTGACCTCTTCTAATTTTACCTTTTGCTGCTGTAACACCACAATTTCCCCATTGTGGGTTAATAAAGGGATTATATTTTATTCTATTCTATCCATAACAACAAAGATGCAGACCCAAATGCAACCCAAGATGCAACCCAATGTAACTATTATGACAGCTGCTAATGAAAAGGTTGTCAAGTCTAAAAAATCAACAAAAAAGTTAGAAATCTCTGACCTTGTTTGCAACAATCTTTGTCACCGTTTCTCTTTCCGATCTGGTCTGAAAACAGGCTAAACATGTAAATAAGGTAGCTGATTTAAAAAAAAAAAAAAAGCATAAAATTGATGGGAATATTTGTTAAACGTGGCCATGTAGGAAACGCGGAGATCACTCTTTCACCTGGGAGGTCTGAGCCTGCAGCAGTAGATGATGTTAACTACCACAACTGTTATTACATTTCTGTCTTAACATAGAGCACAATGCTTTGTTTACTCAGAGTTAAGTCAACACATGTCCATGCTATCAGTAGCATCTCAATGGTATACAGTTTAATTGTTTTTCCACAAAGTATCATTCTAATCCACCTCAGCTCAGCGTGGCCTACTTCACTGGTTAATGATGGAAAAACAGCCATGTGGCTTCGACAGTCAATAGTTTTGAAAATGACTAGTCTTGGTTCATCCTTGCAGGCTGTTGCATCTCTGTTCATTAGTTACTGTTGTGCATCACAGGAGAACAGGAAACAGGAGAGACAAAAGGAACCAATAGCTGCATACGTCACACCTCTGGCAGGGGAGAGACTAGTAACTGAAAGAAAACAGACACCAGCTTGAAGTCAGACGCTCTTTTACCCTTCCTCTCCATTTCTCTTGAGTCTCTATTAAACATAAAACTCTGCCTAGTGCAGAAGGACCTCCTATTAGGCCTACAGCCCTAATGTCAAAGTGCTGAAGTGGAAACCAATTATACTGCCTTTGTGTGGTAACTTTTTTATCCTGGCTCACACAAAGAAGAAGAGGAAAGGTTTCAACAAAGATTAACTGAAAAACTGACAACAACAAAAAAAGAAATAAAATTAAAGAAACAGAAAGGAATCTACTGGTATAGTTAGGTACTGTGAGGTTAAATGTATAAAATTATATCCCTTTTAGAAATACTGTATGTGCTTAGAAATAATAATGATGGGGTCAATGCTATGTTTTTCTAACAGAATACAAAAATTAAAATGAGGATTTCTTTAGAATAATTTGTGACCTTGCAAAGTTTACATAATGCATTATAGGAAAGCTGAAAGTAGCCTACACAGTGAACCCATGAATTACAAATTGGTGGGGTTAAGATGTAAAAATAAAAAACAAGTTCAGAAGAACAGTCAAATAAATAATAAAAACTACATTTCAAAATGCATAAGCAAATATAACATAAGATCTGTCGAAGAGTAAGATCAAAAGGCAATTGCAACAAATAGCAGGCTTCCTGTGAGCGTTTTCTGAATGCTGATTGGCTTTCGTGAAGGTGTGGTTCAAAGCTGATTGGCTGTGTCACAGGTGGATGTAGGAGAGCAATCAGTTTCTTCAGTTGAACTTCTGTCTAGGCTCCATAATACCTGGCACTGAGGGAATGCACATGCTATCTTGCTAATACACAGCGTTTGTTGCATAAGAGGTAAATATCAAAACTTTCCCATTTTAATAACAGAAACCCCCAATAATATGAACTGTAACAAAGGCAGGTATAACAGAGAAGAAGATTGGTGTGAGTGTGAATACAGAGATCGATTAAACAAGTAGCCTAGTTAAGAAGACTGCAATTCTCTACTCTATAACCACAGCTCTGCCACATTTACAGCACAAGGAGCTGTTCAGATTCAATATACATCTAATTACCAGATAAAAAAACGCATACAGCATGAAAATAAAATATATGACTCTTACCAGAGATGCGGATTATTTAGAAACAAAATGCATCCTTCTGTCTTTGTGCAGGCGGTCTTAGTATCTCCATTTAGTATCAGTCATTAAGGCCAGAAAAACTTTCAACAACAGCAAATCTAAAATGCAGATTGTCACTAGCTTAACTTGGCTGTAAACATTTTTTGTTCTAACTGGCCAATCAGGGTACAGAAAATGCTTACATTCGCATGGCCCGCTTGCTGGCCCTGTGGTGCACATCTGAAATCTGATTGGTTAAAGAAAACGCTCCTCACTTATATTATTAATTTAACATCAGGCAGCACTGCTGATTTCATTGACATAGCAATGCACTAAGGCTGAAATATGACTGGACAAAAAATATAGCTACTACATAAATGTACTGGAAGCAGAGCAGCCAAGAGAAATGTTACAAAATCAAAATGATGGATTGTTTGCAATAAATAAATGCAGTTGGATTGAATAAAATTAAAATTTAGGTTGTGAATGTAGGTTAGTGTTTTTCGCCAGCAGTGAAGGCATTAAAGGCCCTGACTGTCCACGACTGAATACAGGGGTTGAATCATTTATGCCATTTCTCTTGATGATAAGTTGATGGCAACATAAAACTTTGTCATGCAAACAAAGGGAAGATGCTTTATTTAAAAAACTGTTAATCCTGCAGTCACTGATTGTTATCATGGTCAGAGGCAGATACCATGACCTTTAAAACAAACAACAAAAAAAGATCCATGCAGTAGGTCTTGACACATCAATCAAGAACAGCAAAATGAGGAGACTAACGCTACAAGGTGACTACAGTTCTGATAGATAAGATATAATAAATTATTTTAGGCTGCAGGAGAGGACCTGTTGTTCTGGAGTGTTTCTTTGTGACTCTTTATGGACATGTACACAGGACACACTACAGGATCTCCACATCACCCAGGATCTGAGGGAGCTAACAAGTTGCAGAACACCCCTGACACAGTGGTGTTATAAAGCAACTCCCCCCACACACAGATTCTCGCCCACCCCCTACCCAGCCAGCTGAATCCACAAGCTTTGATGTTCTCCTGTACAAAGAGGACAGATGTATTCTTGTCCAGCAGTTACAGTCATGGATGTAAGAATAAGGGACCAGATGCTATACCCATCAAAGTGCGTTATTGGTATCGCTATTCTTTCTGTTCATATCAAATATCATAACTTTATTTACAGTTAGCCACATAAACAGGAAGTAAAATCAGTAAAGATTCGTTTTTGTGGCATAAGATAGTCGCTATACTGTGAGAAGCAAGTTGATCTGCATTCTTAGTGCTTTTTCAGAAAGACTACAACATAAAGTCTGCTTTTTCTGAACAAACATTAATAAAGCACAGTTTTGTTTATCTACTGCCAGGTTTTGATAAATCTTTTTACAATTAGTAAAAAAAGTTGTTGTTTTTTTTTCCTTGTTCGGACTTATGGGAAAGATCATAATGTCCGATTAAACCAAGAGGTTTTACTTGATGGAGTCATATTACTACAACTACATACAGCAACATATGAGAAATTGTGAGAATTATTATGTATGTATAAGGCAGTACTGAAGAAACTCTTCAACAGATCAAAGAAAAACAGCAAAAGATGCGAATTACTATCACCAAGATAAATCCTTTCTAAATCAGCTCCCAACATAACACCTCAAGGCATCTTTTGTGGAGAAGGCAGGTTTTAAAGAGGAGACCAACAACTGCCCATACCTCACTGAGCTCATTTTATTTCGATCAATTTGACAAAGGAATGGGGAAATAAATGACAAACGTGGCAGATGAGGTGGTAGGTTCTTTAAACATATTCATAGAATTGTTAAAATTCAAAGAAACTAATCGGAGCTGGTCAATATTTAGTAACATTAATCTCTATTCTAATAGTTATGCCCTCTGCTTTGGACTGGTGACCTATCCAGGATGTACCCCGCCTATTTTCCATAGGCTGCTGGAGATAGGCACCAGCCCCACCATGACCCTGATGGATCAAGTGGGAAAATGCCTTATGCTGAATCTTTGTTAACTTAAACATAACTCTGGGCATTTCTTAAGATGATAGATAACTGGTGCAGTGTTTTATGGCAGCATCCTTACCTTTTCCTGGTATTGCCGCCTTGAAGAATCCAGAGACTGGATGAGTGCGGTCGCATGGCCAATGAACATGGCGTAGCATGTTGCTCCCACGATCATACTGAGCATGGTCAGCCAGATGTCCGACATGCTCTCTGGGGCTTGTCTTCCGTATCCAATGCACAGCATGTGGCTCATGGCCTTGAAGAGGGCAAAGGAATAGAGCTCGCTCCATGAATCATTCTGTGGGAGAGAGGGAGAAATTAGTTAGAATGAAACACTTATAATTTTTGGTTTAATGTTAAGTGACCCGATGTGATGATATGTCATGCTTAAATTCCCTGAGAAGGGGGAAGTAATAGCGTGTACAAGTGGGGCTGAACTGATGAAAGAGAGGATATATTAAGAAACGAGAGGTTTTAATGAGTGAGAAAATTCTGATAAAGTCTGAGGTTCTGTGTTAGTACTTAATAGCTCAGGTTTCTTAGAGGGTCTAATCATAATCACTGAGCGGCCTTGCCTTGTCCTGGCCATGCAGAAGATGCAAGAAGAGAGTATTTAATGAGGAGCCTGTACTGCTTCTCCATTCCCCCTTTGATTGGTGCTCACACACTCATTCAGCCTCAATTCTCTCCTGTTGGACTCATTAGATAGCCCTCCACCAGCACCAGGGGGACCTCACGTCCCCTCTTCAAACAGCTGCCCGTAACACGCAGCCTCAAGGTTACTTATGTGCATGATGGGCCCACCCTCAGTAACTCAAAGGACCTCTTAGTTGTTTCATTTAGTCATTTCCTATCAGATTTTTGTTTTCCAGCCTTGTTTGCATTAAATTTGAGATTCAAATGTTGGTGGTTTTGAAGCAGGAGAAAGAGCATGCATTTTAAGGGGCCTGCAATCAAATTTCTATCCAGGTAGGTGATTTGAGTTTCTGTAGGAAAAAGTTGGTGCTTGGACTTCTGCAGCAAAAGTCTGTGGCGGGCTTTGAGACTTCAAAGCTAGGTTGATTCTTTCAAAGCTGATGGAATAGTAGGTTTAAAATGTTTATAATTAAAAGTGCATTCATTGTAATCTTTGCTTAGTTACTACGAGATATTTGCTTTGTTTAGAGAGAAATTTGCAGCCAGAATTTGGACACCTTGTTCCAGACAGAGGCTCACTTATGCTACCCGCAAGTTGAGAGAGATGTGAAATTGCTATCGGTATGGTGCCACATTACTGGTGGATTTAAAGTCAAGATTAGGAACACTAAGCCTGAGAGAAAGTGCAGAAATATATCTCCTGTTTCAATCAGCTTCATCTGTCTGTCTCTATTTCAGACTTTATCAATTTACTGTCCAGCATATAGATTTCAGAGCAAGGTCCAGGCACAAATAAGTGCACAGTAATAGAATGAACCCTTTTGTTCTACTGGGGTCTGTTTTAAATGTATCCAACATGACATATTAAAAAGAACAGATTTCTTTTTCATAAATTGGTACAATTTTAAAAGGGAACAGAAAGAGACTTGCATTTCGTTGGGGTTTTTGGGAAAGTCCAAAGAACAAATCATTTAGTTTTATTATTTTTTTCTTGTATTCCTAGAAATCTTTTTATTGACATCAAGGCTGGTGTACTTTCTAATTTCATATTTCTATTCCAATGTTTTTACAAAGCACCAAATGAAAACACTCTTTCAAAAATAATAACTTTCCTCCAAGCTTAGCTTATTAAAAGCACAGCAAGTATTGAATCATTTGAAAAATGTTGTCTGAACTAAGCTCTATGATTGCATAATTAAACATTTTAATTAATTCATGATCATTTACCTTTTAGGAACGACGAAGCTTCTCTGCACAAAAATATGACGATATAAATTGATGAAAATCCTGAACTTTTCATTTATATGTGACAGTTTGCACATAAAACCCTCTAGCCAGAAAGACCAGCTGCAATGAGTCCATTTGTGTCTAAGTTTGAGTTAACAGCTGATTAAATCCGACAGAGTACACAGCTGTCTCTTACTGTAGGAAATTACAATCTTCAGACTAACACAATAAACCAATTCTACAGAGATACTACCTTGTATGAAGGCAGGGGCAGGGCAGAAAAAAAAACAATTAAATTAGCTCTTGTGTTCATTTTATTTGCTATCAGTCTTCACTGAGCTGCACAGATGATGGCTAATTGTACATAATATACTTAGGGAGGAACACAAAGGGACTTTGGGACATGGATGATGTATGATGCCGTCGTTCTTGGATAGTGACTCTACGTGCATGCTGGCACACTTGTCTGGGCGGATGCTCTTGACTCTAAGGATCCATTTACATATGTGGGTATTTGACTATGTGCCCACGAGTCTCACTTTAATGGCCAACACTGGAACTGTGTTTGACTTTAATGGACACATATCTGATATTTTTATATGGAAGCTTCAATAAATTAACTTGTTCATTGGTTGTTTGTTCCATGTTTATGTTTATATTTCAAAACTAAATGGATGAAGTAGATCCAACGATAGCCTCCTGTACACCAGATTTTTTAATTATTGAGAATGTTACATAGAAAATTAACAATGACGTTAAAGTAAGTACCACAACATAACTCACCGTGATTGCCAAAGTAAATACGGAACTAATAAGAAATTCATTACAAGAAAATTTACTTTTATGTACAGAGATACAGTAAATCTTATAGTATCTATAGCTATTTATGCTAAATCTAAGCAGAGCACAATGTTTGTGAGGCATTGCAGAGCAAAAAAAGCAAATCAGCTTTCAACACCAACAAGAATTAAACATCCTTTTCTTTTATTTCATATCTTTATACCTAAGTGACATCTTGTCACTCAGATGCATTATGCCGAATAAAGTGAGACAAAAAATGCAAGAGGTAAATGGATAGATGCATCAAAATATTGAGCAATCCTCATTGCAGCCTGACACCTAAATGTTCAGATTTTAACAAGATAATGAAAACAGAAACATAAAGCCATGGAGCATCAAGTAAAGTTTATAGAAAACAAATGTATTGAATTATCCCTAAATAGAAAAGCAATCACTGAGCACCATTATTCTCCAACTGTAAAGAAACAGGAATTACTTCACAAGCGTCAGCATATTTCAGCATTGTGTTTTAACATTTTTTTGACAATCTTATTTTTTTTGTCAGGTAATAAAGCCTTTTAAACTGTGTTTTTCTTTAGGAAATTAGATTATATCTTTAACAGTAAACAGAAATACAATATTTATCCTTTTGACTAAATTTCTGGCAGGAAGCCATCACTTCCACAGATACACATCAACGCCATAACACATATGTCTTACATTTTCTGCTTATTCACACCTACACTGTCAAGCCCTCCAGGCAGTCAGATCACCTCAGTAACTGAGAAGATCCTTATTAATATTGAAAATCTTAAAGCATTTTTAAAGTGCTTCCTTGTGTGACTGATTAAACATTGATGCATAAACAAATTAGCTGTTAAGAAACTCTCCTTATGCATTATAAACTCTAGGTTTGTTGGTGTTGCAAACAGACTGAGGGTGGGGGTGGGGGCGTCAACCGCATAAGTGTTAGGTGGATGTTTTGCAGATTATGTAAAGCACAAAAGAGGCAAACCTCCAACTTGTGTGGCATTCCTCATCTCTTATAGCTCTGACAAAGGGGAGTTTACGGGAGTGGCGTACTAGTGGTTATGGCATATAGCTTGGAATCCTGAGGTTCTGAGTTCGAGACTCACTCCCACAGACTAACCCTAACCCACAGACTGCTACTCTAAGCAAGGCCCCTAACCCCTGATTGCTCCCCGGGCAGCCCACGAAAGTAGCCTACTGCTCCCCAACGGGATGGGTTAAATTGCAGAGGTGAATTTCTCCAATGTGAGATCAATAAAGTAAAAAATTTAAGCTCAGATAATTGCCACAGAAATGAAAGAAGTGAAAGATACTAAAAGTGAGGATTAACTAGTTGAGCTTAAAAGCATTTGGTAGCTATGGAGGAGCTAAAGAGTTCTGAGAACCAGATTAAGCCATGTAATGTAAATATCTGGTCTTATCGGGGAAGAAGCAAAGCAGCCATGCTAGATTTTGGTAGGAAAGTTTGTGCAAAGCATGTTTTCCTTTGACAGAATTTAAAATTCAACTTTCACCATTTCTGAAATCTTTTTCTTTAACAGACTTGATGTATAAAACAAAGTAAAAGTCAGTTGAATCTGCACAATTGAACTGATTAAGGGAATTGTATAATCTGTTGATTGTTTAATATATATATTTTATTACAACATAGCACAATATGTATTTAACAGAAAATTTGAGCACTACTTGTTTGGCTCAAAGCCTATCCATTTGTTAGCATGGCCTAGTCAAAGTCTACTTTAAAATCCATTTAAATTGAATGGGATGGGTATAAGATTAACATTTTCTTTTACTTTACCTTGCTATAAATTCAGTTTCTGTATTCATGAAAAACACCAATGTGTGCAGTATAATTTGGTAAAACAAGGAAAACCTTCAACAGTTATAAGTACTTTTCCAAGGGACTGTACTGTATGTGACTACAGAGAAAGTCTTTGTGCCATTCAATGACATTTAACACACAAATGTCACAGAGCCATGTGGAATCCTGTGATACTGAAAAACCTCCACATCAGCACAATGCAATACTGAAAGTGGAGTTGAATACCAATAGAAATCAAATATTACCACAGCCGTACAAACATAGAAAACAGCCTCAGATTCTGAGGCACAAGCTTTGTTAAAAGACAACAAAGCAGAATATTCTAAATGTGTTTCTTGGAGTAGAAGAGGGTGGACTGACAAGAGATGATGTCCATGAAGGTTAGTGACCATTCAGAGACATTTGTTTCTGGTGATCTCTCCTTTTCTCATAACACATCCCTTCAAGCAAACAACATTATGTCATTGGCCACTTTTTAGCAGCTAGATTGTGTTTAATTGGTGTGCCAATAAAATGAGGTGGCATCTGAGCAACTGGGATGTTGGGATAACAGGGTAAATCAAAAGACGAGAAGAGTCTGGAGCTGAGAAAAGCTTCATAGGAGGAATTATCTTGTCTAATTTACGTTAGTTTTTCTGTTTGCAGGGATGTGTCATTATCTTTGTGCCGATTCACCTGCCTAGATTCACCCAGTTTCTTATTA